TCCCCCTTTATTTCTTTCTTTCTTTTCCTTTTCTCTCTCTATCTTCCTAACTTGAATTGTCTCTCTCCCTCTCTCTCTCTCTCTCTCTCTCTCTCTCTCTCTCTCTCTCTCTCTCTCTCTCTCTCTCTCTCTCTCTCTCTCTATATATATATATATATATATATATATATATATATATATATATTATATTCCTCCCTCTCTCTCTCTTTCTCCGCTTGTCTGTTACTCTTTCTCTCTATAATCCGCGGAAGACCATTTTTTTCTTCGAATTTCCTTAATCTAAAGCATTGTGCCTCGTAGAGCATTTTACATAGTACATATGTATGTAGGTAGCTTATAAGTTTCTTTCGTTTGGTATGCCTCTTCAAAATTCCATATCTACATGTCTGTTAGTTCAAGCTCTGTAAAGAAAAGAAGAAGAAGAAGAAGAAGAAGAAGAAGAAGAAGAAGAAGAAAGCAGCTCCTTATCCTTAACATCCTCGAAATAATAATAATAATAATAATAAAAAACAGCTTTTCTCTCGATATTCCCTTTCTTTCCGCCTGGCTCGATTGTGCTAAAGCTTCACCTTCTCCCTTGGCCAATCAACCACCTAAGCGTCGCTGTGTCCTTGCAGGTGTTCACCCTGGAGGAGGAGGTTCTGACTTCGAGGTCCACGTGGTCGAGGGCTCTGTGCGACGCCTACATCTTCGTCGTGGGCGAGGGAGACGCCCTTCTGCGCCACGCGGACGTCAGCCACTACCACGACCACGACCCCCACAGCCACGACCCGCATCCTTACTGGAACTACCGCGCCTTCCACCTGGTCCTTCTCCTCGGGGAGGGCGAGGGGGCGCTGCTGCCCTCCGAGGTCGCCGGCCTCTACAACTTCAGGAAGACCGAAAACCTTCTGGTCCTCCAGCGCGGGCGAGGCGGCGACATCCTGGCATGGACACACCTGCCGTTCTCTCGAGGCGCCGTCAGGGTTTTCCTCGTTGACACCTGGAGGCGCGGGAGGTTCCTCAAGGGGCGCGACCTCTTCCCGGAGAAGCTGGACAACCTGCAGGGCTTCCCGCTGCGCGTCGCCACCTTCGAGCACCCGCCGAGCGTCGTGTACCAGCACGACGAGGACGACCCGCGGAAGGTGCTGGACCGCCTGGGCGTGGACATGCAGATCGTGCAGACGCTCGCCGGGGCCAGGAACTTCAGCCTGGAGTTCACGGAGGTCAGCCACGACGAGCTGTGGGGCTACGAGCTGCCCAACGGGACGTGGCTGGGCCTCGTGGGGCAGGTGTTCTACGAGAAGGCGGACGTCGGCGCCTGCAACATGTTCCTGGACCTGCACCGCTGGCGGCAGGTCGACTACTCGGTGCCCTACAACTTCGAGCGCGGGTGCTTCGTGGCGCCGGCGCCCAAGCCGCTCGTCAACTGGCAGGCGCCGCTGCTGCCCTTCTCAGGCCTCACCTGGGCGTCCATCGCCGTGGCCCTGGCGCTCTGCGGCGGCCTGCTCTACGCGGTGGTGGCGCTGTCCTCGCAGGCGGAGTTGCCGGAGTTCCGCAGCGTCGTGCACGACTACCTGTACATGGCGGCGGCCTTCACCATGCGCGCGCCCCACATCCGCCCGTCGCAGCCGCCCGTCCGCGTCTACGTGGGCTTCGTGTGGCTCTTCTGCCTGATCCTGGCCACGGCCTACTCGGCCAACCTCGTGGCCTTCCTGTCCTCCAACCAGATGTCGGCGCCCGTCGACACGCTCGAGCAGCTCTCCAGGAGCGGCCTGAGGATCGGCGGCCACGCCTTCTGGAAGACTCAGTTCTCGGCGTCCATCGACCCGCTCGTCAGGGACTTCTCGAACGTTCTCGAGAGCGACGTGGAGCTGAGCTCCCTCTTCGACCGCGTCGAGGGCGGCGAATTCGCCCTGATTGAGAACAAGCAGTACCTGGAGCTGCAGGCGGGCGCGCGCTTCACCTACGGCAGCAGGACCACCATCCGCATCGTGCCGGAGTGCCTGCTGCCCTACAGCATCGGCCTCGCCTTCCAGAAGAACTCGCCCCTCAAGAGGAACTTCGACGGCGTCATCCTGCGCCTCTTCGAGTCCGGCGTCCTGCAGAAGTGGAAGGAGGAGGTGGTCACCTTCTACCGGCGCCAGTACTCCGGCAGGAAGCTGGACGACGAGTTCGCCAACACGCGAGTGAGGCCGCTCGAGCTGACGCAGCTGCAGGGCGTCTTCTTCGTGCTGGGGCTCGGCTACGTGGCGGCCGCCCTGGCGCTGGCCGGGGAGGCGGTCGTCAGCCTCTACACGCCCTCGCCCTGACGCCCGAAGCCTCCTTCAGCGCCTCCTTCTGCAGCGCCAGTGAGGAGGAGGAGGAGATGGCGGGTGCGGTCGCGTGCAGTTCTGGATTAGCAAGATAATAGTCATGAAATTTGATCAGATATTAGCTATGTTGATGAATAGATTAGAAAGATATTCAGGAAATCGGATCAGATATTAACCAGATTGACATTTATCGTGATTAAAAAGGTCATATTCATGGAATTTGCCCTTTATTACCCAAATTAATTCCATATGCCGTTCTAATGATTAATACTTTTATCCACCATGATTGTACTTTTACATCAGCACTAAAGAAAACACGAACAAAGTTATAATTATAAAAACATCAATAGTAAAACAACACACATACATACAAGCACAAACACACACACACATACAAGCACAAAACACACAACATACAACACAAACACACAATCACACACACAAACAAACACACAAACAAAACAAAAAAATTCACGGAAAATTAGTAAAAAATACCTTACCCTTTTTTCTTTATTTCCTTCAAAATCTCTTCCAACTGCTTTAATTTTGTTGTGTTCTGTTTATCATCCCCATCATCATCATCCTTATTATCAGCATTATCATTATTCCTTCCATCATCCAGACAAACGAAGAAGAAACAAAACAAAATTAATAAACCAGTGTGCATTCTGAACACTTTTGGGGTCACCTTGGAGAAACTAGCCATGCTGCTCTCTGACACAATGCTTACTTGAGATGTTTTATGATGTAGGCATGGTTGTAGTTGTTGTATTAAGGGTGATGTTGTTGTTTTGTTATTATTGTTGTTTTCATTTTCTTATTATTATTGTTATGGTTGTTAGTATCGTCGTTGTCTTTGTGATCGTAATTATTATCGTTATATTTATCATTATCGTTATATTTGTTATCATTATTATTTATGTCATTTTCATTATCATTGTTATCCTTTTTTATCATTATTATTTCTGTCATTATTATCTTTACTACTACTACTACTACCACTACTACTAATGTCATTACCTTTATTATAATTATTACCAGAATTAGTATTATTATCGTTATCAATATTCTCATAAATATTGTCATTATTTTATTATCATTATTATTATGATTATTATTATTATTATCATTATTATTACTAATATTATCATTATCATAACTGACATTATCATATTTGCTACCATCAATATTATCATTGTTATCCTTATCGTTATTGTTATCATTACCGTAATTGTTATTACTGTTCCTATTATTAAGATTATTATCACTGTTGTTATTACCATTATCATCACCATTATTATCCTTATCATAATCATTTTCATTGTTATCATAATCATTGATATTATTATTATCATAATTATTATCAATAAAATAATAATGATAGTATCATTAATGTTGTTATTTTTATTTTTATCATTGTTAACGCCACATTATCATATTTACTACAATCCTAATTATTGATATAATATCTATTATCATCAGCAGCAGTATTACTATCATTATTATCAGTATCATCACTGTCATTACAACTCTCATAAAAAGAAATATAAGGATCTCAACATTCTAACATCACATCAGTCATCACTATCATTTCTATAAAGATAGTCATCCCAGTCATCACTATCATTTCTACAAAGATAGTCAACCCAGTCATCACCATCATTTCTATAAAGATAGTCATCCCAGTCATCACTATCATTTTCTATAAAGATAGTCAACCCAGTCATCACTATCATTTCTATAAAGATAGTCAACCCAGTCATCACTATCATTTCTATAAAGATAGTCAACCCAGTCATCACATCCATTTCTATAAAGATAGTCAACCAGTCATCACTATCATTTCTATAAGATAGTCAACCCAGTCATCACTATCATTTCTATAAGATAGTCATCCCAGTCATCACATCATTTTTATAAAGATAGTCAACCCAGAGATAGTCAACCCAGTCATCACATCATTTCTATAAGATAGTCATCAGTCATCACCATCATTTCTATAAAGATAGTCAACCCAGTCATCACATCATTTCTATAAAGATAGTCAACCCAGTCATCACTATCATTTCTATAAAGATAGTCAACCAGTCATCACTATCATTTCTATAAAGATAGTCAACCCAGTCATCACATCATTCATAGTCACCCAGTCATCACTATCATTTCTATAAATAAAGATAGTCAACCCAGTCATCACTATCATTTCTATAAAAGATAGTCATCCCAGTCATCACTATCATTTCTATAAAGATAGTCAACCCCAGTCATCACTATCATTTCTATAAAGATAGTCAACCCAGTCATCACTATCATTTCTATAAAGATAGTCAAGTCATTCTATAAAGATAGTCACACATCACTATCATTCTATAAAAGATAGTCATCCCAGTCATCACTATCATTTCTATAAAGATAGACCCAGTCATCACTATCATTTCTATAAAGATAACCCAGTCATCACTATCATTTCTATAAAGATAGTCAACCCAGTCATCACCATCATTTCTATAAAGATAGTCAACCCAGTCACACCACATTTCTATAAAGATAGTCAACCCAGTCATCACCATCATTTCTATAAAGATAGTCAACCCAGTCATCACCATTTCTTATAAGATAGTCAACCCAGTCCCCAGTCATCACTATCATTTCTATAAAGAGTCATCCCAGTCCAATCATTCCAGTCATAGTCAATTTCTATAAAGA